CCCGGGTAAGCATGGTACCCCCGTACGAGTCCGCCAAAATTTTTCCCGCGTAAATTCATAACCCGGGGATCTGAGAAGCTAGAAGGCCGAAATTTTAGGGGAATGTTCCCCGCCCAAGCAGGTGCTAATGAGCTCAAATCGAGCCCCCGGCTCCGCGCACGGTCCAAGCAGGTGCTAATGAGCTCAAATCCAGCCCCCGGGTAAGCGTGGTACCCCCTTACGAGCCCTTAAAATTTTCCCGCGTAAATTCATAACTCGGGGTTCTGAGATGCTAGAAAGCTGAAATTTTAGGGGAATGTTCCCCGCCAAAGCAGGTGCTAATGCGCTCAAATCCAGCCCCCGGGTAAGCGTGGTACCCGAGTACAGACCCCCCAAAATTTTTCCCGCGCAAATTCATAACTTGGGGTTCTGAGAAGCTAGAGAGCTGGAATCTTAGGTGGGTGTTCCGTGTTTAAGTGGATATTAACGAGTTCAAACCCTGCCCGCGGATAAGCGTGGCACTTAAGTACAGGCCCGTGAAAAGTTCCGGGTAAGTTGATTACTCGAGAACGTGAGAAGCTAGAAGACTGGAATTTTGAGGGGATATTTCCTGACAGTTCTGGCGGCCAGTCTGAAATTCTTTCAGCTAGAGGCATCTACCGGAAAAACCGACGCCGGTAGTGACAAAAACCTGCGAGGAACTCTGCAAAAAACTCATCTTCGCACGGGCAGCCCATGCGTTGGCCATTTATATTTTTCGCTATTATGCTCCTTATCCCGACCCTGGCCTCTGTGTTTCTCCCTTTCGCATTTCGTTCTCTGAAAGGTAAAGGCACCCGGAAGTAGCCGAAATGGTGGTGCATGCCAACAGCAACATCTTTTGGAAGGCCATAAAAAAATGTTTTCGGCGAGTTGTCCAGGATAAATTTATTCTTCTGACATGTACCAGAACCATTTTATTACGAAATCATTAAATATGTTATATGATTGGTTTTCCTAATAATGGAAGGCAAGCCTTAATCTTTAGCTCAGAAATTTTCATAGCGTTTAGCTTAGCAGCTTTTTATGCATTTTTGTGCGTTTTGTGCTTACAAAACGCATATTGTCACGGGGTTCTCTGTGTGTATGTGTTTGTGTGTGTGTCCCACATTTTGTCCTGCACTTTCAACTCGGGAACCACGAAAACCAGGCGGCTGAAATTTTGGTACAGTGTTCCCTGCCAATGGGTGACGCGGCAAATTTAAATTCGGTCTTCCCGTACCCGCGGGTAACTCGTATGGCCCTGTGAAATTTTTTACGGGTAAATCAATATCTCAGGAACCACGGAGTCTAGGAGGCTGATGTTTTAGGGTAATGACCCCCTGCCCACACTCAACCATGCCCATTCAAATTCAGCCTTCACTTACCCGCGGTTAACACGTACGGCCCCGAGAAAGTTTTTCATGGCTAAGTTAATACCTCGGGAACCACAGAGTCTAGGAGGCTGATGTTTTAGGGTAATGACCTCCTGCCCACGCTCAACCTTGCCCATTCAAATTCAGCCTTCCCTTACCCACGGGTAACATGTACGGCCCCGTGAAATGTGTTCACGGGTAAGTTAATATCTCGGAAACCACGGAGTCTAGGAGGCTGAAGTTTTAGGGTAATGACCCCCTGCCCACGCTCAACCTTGCTCATCAAAATTCAGCGTTCTCGCGCTCTCGGGTACCACCTACGGCCTCGTGAAAATTTTGGCGGATAAACTATTAAGTCGTGAATCACGGAAAGATATTTATCCTTCAAGGTTTCGAATTCAGCTTTTTTGCGTGAAATTTTTAACTGTTTGAACTATTTCTGCATAAAGCACAAGGCAGTGAAAATTATTAATAGGCAATCGTTGGGTGGGTTGAATCGCACAAAGCGCATGATCGCACCGGCTAATCTGGTGCGCGTTGCCATTTATTTTTTCTTCGCCTCCTTAAGAGTTTCCTAACTCAGCGGCTCCCCCGATCGAATCACTAAGTCAGGATTTAACGGTCTCTAGATGTTTATGGTATGTGTCAAGTAATTCCCGCTCTTCATAGACGCTACTGCTCCGAGACTGCGTTGGGGCATTTCACTAACCGGGAGCATATCTGTGTAAGATTTTTTAAATGAATATTATTTCAGTGTTCGACACTGCTGCCTCCACCGCCTCCTCCACCAGCATTTACGGCACCCCAGCCACCTCCGGCACCAAGCAGTAAGTCCTAATAAATTGTTATATCGGTTTTTGCTAGTTATTTCTTCATATATTTGCATTTCAATGGCTTTTCTGCCTCCTGAGCCCGTTTTCGTTCTTCAAACTTTCTGACATGATTGCGGCCAAAACTGCAGCACTTGATGATTGTCAAGATTTTGGTGATCCTGGCTTTTTTTGTTGAAGTTAAACGGGTGAATAGGATTTGAAATGGAAGAGGAGGAAAATTGGATCTCTACAGAAATAGATTTGAAATTATTTTCAAAAAAGCCTCTCATTGTTGTACTTGATGAATATTTATGCCTTGATATCACCTTAATTACGCTAACACTTTTTAGTGCTCCCCGTCCAACCAGTTCCACCCTTCCTTCAACATGCAACATCGACAGGTGTGCCGAAGCCTCCGATCCCAGTGCCGCCTCCAATCAATGCTTCAGGTTTTTCTTTTCTTGAATTTTTGGTTTTACGATAGATGCTCGAAATTTCTGGCAGTTTAAATCATCGATTGTAATATTCTTAAGTCAGTTGTAATATCATAACTTTTTTCCAGGGCAGTTTCTAGTGCCATCTCCCTCCGTTTCACCAGCACTGCCTTCTTCATTTCCGCCAATATGTACAGCTTTGCCGCCACCACCACCTGCGCCTGTGCCGCCAGAGTTTCCTGTGACACCGCAACCACCCTCTTTTGGTAGAAGCGTAAATGTCATGAAGCACGACGGTGGTACTGATATTGATAATAGCGACGATTACGACAATGCACAGTATGAAGCACATCCTGATGACGACGGTGATGACGATATCAATAATAGTGTTGCTGTCAGTTTTTTTTTTGGTTTTTCGATTTTTTTTTTTTCGAATTTGGCCCTAAAAGAAGCGAATAAAAAATGGCGATGAATTTTTTTTTAATTGGATTTTCTGTCTTTTTGTCTTTTAGTAATTGAATTTACTTAACCCTTTTAACTTTTTTAACCTTCTTTTCTCTCTCCCTACTTACTTCTGTCTTTTCGCACGCCACATTTGCTATTTTACATGGTGGTTAGGGGGCTGTACTGATGGTACCCACCCTTAACCACACCTCCATTTATCTGTGTTTACAGCTAGGGGATGAAACACAGACAAATATCCCTGGATATTCGCAGCACATACGGTATCAACATGTCACATTGTTTATAACACATGTTCTTAAACACTATCTCCCAGTTTTTTCCCCCATGCGCATTAGTTTATTCCACTTGAAATATTAAATTCGAACCTTCCCATTCCATTCTATCTATTGAGTAATAGATGTGGGTCGAAAGGCCTGGTATAGCTGCGCCCAATCTA